TTTCCTGACCGGATTACGCTACTCATTTTAGCTCCCCAATTTCCTCACGATGCTGGGTTGGCACCGGTCCCATACACCGGTCGAAAGCTCATGAGAAAATTTCTTCTACCCCGAGACTCGAACCAGCGCGCATTCCGTATCGCCGTTCCGAAGCATGATGCCTCAGACCGCGCAGCTACGGAGCGGGACAATTTTTACGCTATAAATAAACATTATGACATGCAATTAGTCTTTTGTTATAAAGATTTCAGATAAAGAAATTTGCATTGTATTTGGATAAATGATTTATTATATGATTGTTTGTAGGTAATACATAATAGTGATAATGGTAGTTCACCTTTGGACGTTCCCTTTTAGTGCTGTCAGTTCATATCAGCAGAGATTGACTGTCTTTGGTCTGATACAAATTTGAGAGTCACTTGTGGTTTTAAAAAAAGGAATTTTGAAAGTCAACAACATGTTTGAACTGAATACACGTCCATTTAGAATTTAAACTAAGAGAATGTTAAGCTGTAGAAAACTTGAAGTACCCAAAAAAACTATATTTTTTTTAAAGTTTTATAATAGACAGATTACTAAGCGAGGTGGTAATAGTGATTGATATTAATGTTGCAGATGAACTTGTACAGTCAGCAGCTTCTCTTGCACTTGTATTGCTAAAAAAGCTGCCCAGTGTTTATATGGATGACCACCTCATCACGGAGTTAATAACAGACGTGAGGGTAAATTTGGTAAGGTCAAGCTTGGGCTATTGGTGCGTTGTACTGCTAGTGGTGAACTGTATGCTGACACATTGTTAAAGAATAGAAAAATAAAAATGTAGCGAAGAACTGAGTGTTTAGTTAAACTTTTAGTGTGATGATCTGATTGCTATATTCAGTAAAACATTGTCATAATCTTTTTAAGTAAAATTATAGTAAAGATTAATTGCAAGAATTTACACTTTATTGAGTCATCGTTGTTGCGTATTTATATTTGTGACTGAAATTTTTACTAAGCTCATATACACATAAAACTTGTTTGAAAAGATCTGTATTTCATGCTGAAAACTGATTCGGGGTAATTTATTTTGTGTATT